TAAAGCTTCAATTCTATTACCATAAACAAAAACAATACCTTTGATCAGGTTTGGAGATGCTTTAGCCTCTTCTTGCATCACAGCAAATACTTGTCTTGGAACTGTAGCTCATTCCTTTGCCATCTTAACTCTACCTTTAGAGCAATACTTGGTAATATGGCCTGGCTTCTCACACTTGAAACAAGACTAACATTTTCTCACGTGAAATATACCACAGATACTGCACTGGGGTGACCTTTCAGTGCTAAAAGTAGGAGCTGGTGTGTTTGAGGCTTGCCTTGAGGGTTGTGGAGGCCTAATACTAACCCCAGTACTCCTCTACATAGACCCCCTCTAAACTAATCAAGTCTAAGAACCTCTACCAAAACTCCTCTTTCTATAAGCTCTAGAACTGCTTGAGTTATACACGAGCTTCTTCGATACACCGCCCGATGGACCTAGGGAAGGTATAAATCTTCCTATACTGTCCCTCTTCTTCTCAACCTCTACTTTCCTACCTCTCTTCATAGCTATTCTCAACTTATGACATATGTCCTTTTAAGTGGTGATGTCGAACAAAGCAATTTGCTGCTTGTACTCTGGACGCATCTTCTCTAAAAATCATTCTGCCTTCTACTTGGTGTCATGGTAATGTTGTAGATAGGTAAAATAGACTGATAAGTCATTGCATCTCTTTATGAATTCCTCTTCATCTAAGTCCCCTTATCTAAATGCATAGAACTCTTCCTCTTCTTAGTATGAAAAGATGTGGGGAAATAATAGTTAAAGAACACCCTCTTGAATTCTTCCTAAGAGTACCTCACACCACCAGTCAATCTCACTGAATCTCACCATCTCTTTGTTGCTTTGACTAGCTGGATTGTGGCTAAGGTTACTCTCTGCTCTGAAGTGCAGGTCACCACCTCGAATATTGTCTCGAGGCATTCAATCCACTGCTCGGCTTCTCCTTCTCTCATACTACCATCAAATGTAGGTGGATTGAATCTCACATATGTCTTCTAGGCTCAATCAATAGATGGATCTGTAGTTACTTCCATAATCTATCTATTACTTGAAGCTTAAGGTGGTTTAGGTCTGTTATGAGCTTCTTCTAGTACTAGCCTTTCTTGATCTTCTCTTTCCTCTGCTTGGTCTCTTTCCCTTAGCAAAACATCATGGTCTCTTACGATTTGCTGGATATCGATCATTATATCTCTCAAATCTTCTAACAAGCCATCTCTTCTATTAGCTTGTTGAGGCACATCTAGTTGAACCTCAAGCACAGGTTCATCCTCAACCAGACGCCATGATACTTGAGTGCTACATGTAGCTCGTGTACTTCTTCTTCTCATTTTCTCCCCTCCTAAGGATGAAAGTAAAAGAAAGGTAAGGAAAAGGGAAAGAATAGGTGTAATGAACATTATATAAGTTGCCAAGCTTTAGATGAATGCACAAAGAAGCACACAACTAGATCTCGAAACTCAAGAAACTGATACTAACTTTTATGTAATGCCCTCATTGACATTACCATACGCTCTACTTCAAAATCTCTAATCACTTCAAAAACATTTAAGTTGAAAATATTGAAAACATTGAGATCCTAATAAAAGATTTTTAAAACTATCATTTCATAACCTATTCAAGTTATAAAACCTTAACACACCAATACATACACAGCGAAAGCTACTAGTATTCAAGTATTGAATACCAAAAAAACACGTACAAACAAGAAAATAAAGTGCAATTTTGCACCGTAGCCATGGCTCGTGCCACATGTGCCACGGCATGTGGCATAGAGGCTATAGTTGTTCGCTCTATGCCGTGCGCCATGGCATGTGGGTACATGTACTGTAGTGCATACACCTGAATTTGTTGTCAAATGGTAGTTTTTGATATGAAATTCATATGTGCACCATTTTCATATATGATGTCTGATTAAAATAGTTCAAGTACCCACATGAAGCTTGTTTCAAAATCTAACTAATGACATTTTCATTTCAATCTAATATTTTTATCAAAAATTAGACAATAAAGTGCACTTTGACCATTTTTTAATAAAATTTTGTCACTTAAGTATCACAATTGAAAACCAATTATCATTAGCCACTTTATGGGCCTTGACCATGTTCAAATAGACAATACATACTTGATTGACTACACACATGCATAATATATCACACATACATATATTTGGCCTGTAAATTGGCCATTTTTCACTTTGGGCCAAAATCACATTTTCATTTCTTTATCTCATGCATGGCCAAATCATCAAATATATTCTCCACACATCTTATATATACACACAATTACATTCATCCACTAGTCCATCCAGTCATTTCATCATTCACACAAATACAAGGGCTAGGGAACTCAAAATCACAAAATACCATAATATGCACATATTTGAATCCTATGGCAACTTATATAAATCTACAACAATTTCATTACACCAAATTCTTACAAAAGCTTAGTGAGTGATCTCAACTTAGCCAATGTCTTTCCCCTTCAAACCACTAGCACCAGAACATGAAAAATATAAATAACCATGGATGAGATAAAAATCTCAGTAACCAAATATAGTTCATTAAATATCTATTACCATAAATAACCATGCCAAAGTAAATGAAATCATCTTATAGCATATATATACAGTATATCATAACTAAATTATCACTTTTGCATGTAAATTACATTTCAAATACTTTTACACCTTAGCATGATCAACTATCGATCGATCCTCCAAAGCTCCCTGACACAAAACCATAAGCTCTCCTAGATCAACTACTTGTTGACTCGAGCTCACTTTCAGTGGTAGAAACACCCAACTAAAGGTAATCTAACCCACCTACGGACTATAGTTTCCCTCTTCACACTCTTGTAATACAGGTGTCATTGACTCCTAACCGCACTCTAACAGGCACTAGGGAGTTGCCAAACTTCCCAGATGTCCCATGATAACAGTCCTATAATATGCTGCATTGGATTACCCATGGCAATAGCCTATATAATGCTACACCGGATGTCCCATAGTGCCAGCCCGACCATATGAATTTTTCACTCACCTATCTCCACACACACACACACATTCCCATATATCCTGGGTGAACTCCCACCCTCTATAATCATGCACTTTCATAATTTCCACTACTTACACACATTTCCACAACATATATTTGTATATATCCATTAAAATTAATAATTTTTCAAATTCATTTCACAATACAAATTTCATGCTAAAAACCATTTCAATAACAATCATGCATAAAATGCATAAATTCACAAGTTATCATTTGATATTCACTTCTACACGGTTATAATAGTTAATAAACATAATAAACTATATGGTTACCTTAACCCTTCTATTCGATAGAAAGGGTTACCCATGTAATTTCAACCCTATTCAAGCTCCTTTCTCATAATTCGTGGGTCACACACTAGAATTTACACAGAATTGGCATTCAGAGTCAATTCCTCTATTGATCAAAAGTGCCAATTATTGCATTTAAATACTTAATCGTTATCAAATACACATTTCATACTCGATTACACACATTACCACTGATTATCCCTCATTTCAAGCTTTAACATTTCTAGCCATTTTCTCTCACTACTCTCTCTAGATTCAGGCAATTCTTGCCTACAGCTTCAAAACTTTATTGTTTTGACTTAAACCAATCACAAAGAACTAGTTAGTTCCAAAGAACCTTTTTATTACTATAGGGTTAGAAATTAACTCCTTAAAACTCCTGAATTCAATTTCTTACTAGTTAGAACTAAGAGAAAATAGGGTACATTCGAAGGTTAAGGCAGTACGTGACTTGCTTGATAAGTAATAGGTTGAAAACACTGTCCTTTCTCCTGATTTAGCTTGCCCTAGTACACCCTTCGTTCTTCTTCACGCCAGATCTCTCTTCCCTTATTTCTCCCTTTTGTTTCATAAGTTAGACACATCCCTATAAATTTAATTTTTGATCCATACACCACGATGCACCTATCCCTCACTGCGGCACATGGCATAGTAAGGGAAATCTTCATTATGCTCACACTCTCTGCTTCGAGACTCCACTCTTCTACTCATATCTATTCATATGACATCCTAATGAGTCAATATAATGCTTGACTACTCAGAACCCTAATCCCAAATTAAATCACTAATTCATTCCTAATTAGTCATTAACGCAAGATTAGAAATTTGGGATGTTACAATGTTCATGCTTGAATTGTCACATATGCATGTATGGAACTTGGATAGCTCCATTTCACTCGTGAAGCATTTGGTTGCATGCACGACATGTCACCAATGGCTAGAAACATTGCTACAATGGTCAGTCAACTGCTAAAACTATATATGTGATACAATTCAAGTTTAGAATAAGAATTCTGATATTTGAGTGACCTATTAATCTTTTGAGCATTCTAAAAAGCTTTCAATTGTGCATTAAAGTTTAGGATTCATTTATCATTCTCGATAAAGTTTGTGAAAAAGCTCTCACAAGTTTTTAAGCTTTCATTTATAATTTATCTACTCTTCAAGAGAGTTTTTTTGTGAAATTTTTATTCTTTAACTGAAATCTTGAAAAAGTATTTTTCAAGTAATTTGTAACAACTTGTTGGTTGTAGCAAGGTTTATTGTTAAACTAAGAGAAGTTAAGTCTTGAGATTTGTACTGTGGTGGCAAGCACCTATTGAAGCTTGTGAGTTTAGTTATGAATCTCAAGTGTGATCTTGAAGACTAGATATAGGCCAAGTTTTAGGCTAAACCAGGATAAACCTCTTATGTATTATCTCTTCTCTTCTTGCTTATGTCTTTCTCACTCTTTAAACTTTCCAAAAAAATTTTAGTGTCACCTAATTTAACCACTTCTTGGATACCAACCTATCCAACATCAGGAACCAATACTTGATAGGGATCTTGTTAACAGTTTGGCAATCAATGCACATTTTTCAACTCCTATCCTTCTTAGGTATTAGAAGAATAGGTACAGCATAAGGGCTGACACTTTCTCAAACTAACCCTTTCTTCAATAGCTCTTAAACTTCTTACTGGACTTCAGCATTTTCCTAGGGATTCGTCCTGTAAGCAGGCTTGTTGGAAATAACTGCTCTTGGAACAAAGTCAATAGCATTTTATATGTCTCACATGGGTGGTAACCCTGGTGGTATCTCATCAAATATCACATCTAGAAATTCAGATAATAAAGGTATAACTCTTGGTGGATTGGCAGACTCATTGTTCACCTTAAGCACTAGAATGAAACTCATCATTTGGGCTTTAGACTTCGTTACCTTGAACTCTAATGGCTTAAATTTCCTTAAAGATTAGATAATCTCACTTGGTAGTAGAGGTGCTAATGGGAACTTGACACCATCTTTCATGAAAGAACAGGTGTTTACATGCCCATTATGCATAGCATGTTGATCATATTGCCAACATCTCCCTAAACGAAGGTGGCATGCATCTATGGGAATAACATAACACAAAACTTCATCACAATACCTGTTCCTAATATAATAAGTAATAAAGCATTGTTTATAAACTTTTACCTCATTTCCCTTATAAAGCCAATGAAGCTTGTAAGGATGCAGATGGTCATGTGTTAGCAACTTTAATTTCTACACTATGTAGTCAAATACTACATTTTTATAGCTTCTATTATTAATGATGATATTAAAACTTTTCTTTAGGTTGTGCAACGAGTATGAAAAATGTTGCGTTGTAGCCAAGGTTCTTCCTTAACTATAGTTGTATGTAGACTTTGTCTAATCACCAATGCTTTACCCTGATCTGTAAGTATAACCATTTCATCATATACTGGATCAGTTCCATAAGACTCAGTCTCATCCTCATCTTCTTCTAGTGCTTCATACACTTGCCCTTCCCTAATGGTGACAATGCTTCGAGTAGCACAATCCACAATAATGTGACCAAATCCTTAGTATTTAAAGCATTTAAGTGCTTTAAAGCCAGATTCCTTGGTGACATTTGGTGGTGCCTTGCACATAGCTAGATTGCAGCTTGTTTGAGCAGTTGGACTGTTGAAACTCTGCCTTGTGGGCATCTGAATAACCTTAAGAGGAAGAGGGCTAGAAAAATGATCTCTTGGGTGTCTGCTTCTGAATAAGAATGGCTAGATAGATGATGTCATCTAAGGTCCAATACTGCTAATGTTAGATTAAACGACTAATGCTAGTGTTTAGGTCTGTAAAGTATCAGGCTATTATATGCTTATCCTTCTCCTAGATGTCACATTTCATCATGAGTTTCTTAAACTCTCTAGTATACTCTTCCATAGGCTAGGACCTCTATCAAATATTTTACAGCTAGAGAAAGTTATCCTAGTGGAAATGGTCTAGTAGAAATTTCTTGATGAGTTGGCATCTCATTGTTTCTTTGGTCTCAATTTTACGCTTCCCTTCACATTCTTACTTTCGTTTGAGATTTTCCCACCAAATGGAGGTATGTTTCTTGAGTTTGAGGGAAACAATCTTGACTTTCTGTGCATCTAGAATCTCCCTGTATTCAAATACATGTTCAATAGTTTAAAGCCAGTTTATGAACTTATCTAGCTGAACTCTTCCCTTGAATTCAAGAATGTCTACCTTGATGTCATTAGGACAGAATTATTATTATCAAGGATGGTAGCAGTTGTCAGTGGATGAAGAATTGTTGCTTCTCGAATCTCCTTTTGGGTTTTTTCTATTAGTTTCTAATAAAGCTCAGTGCATTTCTATAGTAGATTCTAGCTCCCGTATTCTACGTCTCATCACTTCCAACTCAACCTCATGCACATTCCTATGTCTTGGAGGCATCTTGGGATTTTTGTTGTAAGGTTAGGACTTTAGGAAAGAAAATATAAGGGTGAAAATGTAATTTATAAGAGTGTAGGGATGAAAAGGGAAATTTTAGTAATTTTAGGGTAGATATGTAATTTTGGAAAATACAAGGGTCAAAATGAAAGTTATGTAAAAGTAAGGGGTCAAATTGTAATTTTGGAAAAATATGAGTCAAAATGGAATTTATGTAAAACTACAAGGTCAAAGTATAATTTCTAGGAAAATGTGTGGTCAAAATGGAATTTCAAAAAGGTTAGGGGTCAAAATGGTAGCATTGAAAGGTTTAGGGTCAAACTATAATTTAGGAAAATGGAGTTGACTGGGTAGGATGACACGGCAGTAGTGACACATGGTGATCTTTGAATAGGCTGACCTATTGTTCACTAGTCAGAGAAGTTGACATGGTTGATGATGTCAACGTCTTCAACCTTTAATAGGCGTGTCACGAGTGAGTCAGTAGTGATGGCACGTGATAGTGTGTGTGGAGGTTTCAAGAGGTGGGACGACTCCTATTCCACTTTTTTAGACCTCTTAAGCATGATAGTGAGGTCAAATAATGGAAAAAAGGACTGGAAACGGGACTTCTGAGAGCGGCAGTGACCTATTTCACCGACATCGTCTCAAACTCAATTCCAAAAAGATTTTCCCCCAATTCCCTAGCTCTAAAACCTTGCTTTGATACCAAACTGGCTTAAGAGCCAAGGAGGAAAAGAGAGAACACTCTCATTTTAATAAAAAATTGTATTATTCTTTTGTGATTCTGAATACAATGGAATGAAGGCTTTTTACACTAGTCTCAAGTAGACAAGAAATTAATGCTAATGGAGTGGTTATAGATCTAAATGGAGGGGGTTATGGGACTTAAAAGTACTTAATAGAAGCTATTGGGAGCTTATGGAAGCTACAAACACTTATTATAATTTATGGATAGGAAAGTTATAGAGATAGTAGGGGTTATGAAGATGGAGCACCTAATGCTTAATGTTTTAAATGGAGTTTCTCTAACAACTAGAGATTTAGTGCATAGTAGCTGTGTTCTTTATTTGAGTAATGTGTACAGGGAAAAAAATTAAGTATACATGCCTTTTAGCTAATTTTTCTGTAGTATTCTTAATCATCCTCCATATTTTTATTTGAGTTGGAGAATGATAAAGGAGATTATAGTTAATTTGTTTGTTTTATTGTAAAAATGCTTTATTTAGTTAATTGATATTTAGTTTATATTCAGAAAAAAAAGAGTAAAAATAGAGAATGCATACTCTTTCACTTAACAATATTTAATTCAAATATGTAAATTTAAATTATTAATTTAATTAGTCAATCAATTAATTAAACTAGGTTCAACTATTTTGTATACCGAAGAGGATTAGATTTACTTTACTAGGAAAGGAAAGCAAGGGAACCTTTACAAAACAATAAACAATTTTTATTCATTCAACTTACTCCTTTAATCCTATTTATAGGGCAGAGAGAAAAAACTAATTTTGGTTATATTTATAAGATACTTTACTATTTTTTATGTTCATCTTTACTTTTTTTTATCCTTACTATATCCTAGAAAAATTTATTAAAAATAATTCTTTTTGTCCTTATTAGGGCTGGAGGTGAAAATTTATTAAATTTTTTATTTTATAATAATTTAAAAATCACATGAATTTTTGAACAAAAAAATAGACTGAGCAATAAAATCTAATGACTTGAAACCTTAAAAAATAAGTATGAATTATGACAAAATTTTGGTTTTCCTTTGGGCAGTTGCAAAGATAGTGTCAGGGATTTAGGTTTAGCATAACAAAGAGAGGACAAGACTACAAATATATGAAGAAAGGAAGATCACAAGTTACAATCCTAACAAATACTGGAGAAAGCAATATAGCTTGGGCTAATACTTGGTTTCACAATAGTCGATGAGAAAAGTTCTTATAAAGTTAGGTGTTTCAATAGATGCTAGAACTTTATAAGGGTTGCATTTTATAACAAGAGGTCCTTTATAAGGGTATGCCAGAAAAGAAGCTCTAGGACAAATCTCTATTCTAAGTGCTCTGTTTTGTATACGAAGTATACGAGAAGGAAATGAATATTTTTAAATGTTATTTTACATTTGTGTGAGGAGAGGAACATCCTCTCATTTAACACCTCAAATAAGATTGTAATTTTTCTCATCATTGCAAATAAAAAACTATTGAACAAATTTGATATAGATCTATCTTTAGGACTCTTTTCTTTAATAGATTATGAAAATTATAAGTGGTATTTCTGTCACCCTTAACCACCCTACATTCTACAATTGAGTTAGCATTATATTAAATAGTACATTATTAATGTTCCTAAAATGCATTAGTCTCTCTAACAAATCTTGGAACAATGTTTCATGATCAAAGAGTGTTGTATTTCCAAGTCAAGTAAACTCATATGTCTTTAGCATAGAGGAAGTGGGGCAATATTAATATGTGGTCTTTGTATCTTCTCCAACAAGTTGATAATTAAATGTGCCAATATCTTCTCCAACATTGTAAATACAGGTAAAGTTTCTTGTACAATTCATCATTACATTCATATAATGTTATATTAACCTAGCTAATTCCAATCACCTTTTTCAGCAACATCATAGCTATGCCCATTTATTGGTTTGTTGAATCAAAGGCTCTGATAATAACAAATGAAATGGTATGTGTTTTATCAATTGGATTATTTGATCAAAATAATAACATGAGAGTTGTAAGTTGTAAAATCACTTTATGTAAAGAAAACAATGGGGAAAAAATTAATTTTGTTTGTGTGATAAAATAAAAAATAGACTAAAAAAACATAAAAACATATAAAAACCAATATTTAAAGTAAAAAGAAAAGAAAAGAAAATTATATTTAACTTCTTATTATTATAAATACCTAAGAAAATTCATAGAAGTTTTGACAATTCAATTTGTGTGGCTATGATGGAAAGGCATGGAACATAATATGGTAAAAAGATACCTTAAGCAATTCCATCTTCAAGAAATAGATTACCAAAGGTCCTTCAAGTGATTAGAATTTAAAAGTAAGATTATCTAAACACCTTTGGCTTTAAAGTTAATTTGAAAGGTAGGTTGCAATTTATTTTTTCAATGAGTTACACTTTACAAGAAAAATCCTCAGGTTGACAGCATATTTGAACTTATATTTTTATGGAAAATGGAATAACTCCTTATTAATTGGATCACCTTAATTTGTTGATCTCAATCACCTATTAAGACCGCAACCTCCACCCTTATCTCTGGTACACTCGCAGATGCAATGCACATACTTATGCATATGTCACTTCTCATACATTCCATACATAACTCACTCACCTGCATGCATATTCCTTTCACTATATTGCTACTCTATTAGTTCATAAATCATAATGCATATAATTATACAAAATACCTGTAAACAATTTTACAAACAAACAAGTAAAAGGATTATTCCAGTTACCTTTTACCCTTATTATCAAGGGTTACCAGTCATAATAGACTCCTAAAATGTAGATTTTCACGAGCAACTTCTTAAATGCTCAATCTACACAATATAATGTCCCTTAGTCAATTCTCAATACTCAATATAGGCATTGATTTGGCTAAACCGAATCTCTTAACACACAAAACAGTTCAATTAATAACTTTTGAATTCATAAAGTCCATTATCTATAGTCATTGGCCCTATAGGCCATTCAAATGATCAATACACCATCCTGAACTCCTTTATTCACTAATTTTCCCTTTTAACCTAACCCCTTTTAGGCTAATTTGAGTCTAAATCCTTACGGTTTAACCATTTAACTCTAGATTAGTCAAAAAACCTTAATTTCATAGTTAAAAGCCCTTTTTAAATCTTTCCCTTATATTTCAATTCTTTAAAACTCTCTGATTCAATTTCTCTACTGATCAAATTCAGAAAAAATAGGGTAGAAATGTAGTATAGGGCTGTATGATACTTACTTAATAAGTTGCTAGCCGAAACAAACTCTCGGTTGCCAAATAAGTGATGCCCTAGTAGAGCCAAGCTCCCTCTCCTACCCAGATATGTTTTTCCTCACTTCCTCTTCTGTTTTCACGATTTGAAGCTTAGCCTTTAAGTAAA